GCTGCAGCCCTACTGTGATGTACTGTGTGTAGGATGTGGGGGACGTATTGGCAGACATTGAATATAATACAATAAGTATGTTTTCTGTAGTTTATAATCAACTGAAAATAAGAATCTTTGTGTTTGTAACCTTAGAATGAGACGTTTATATCTACACAGGGAGCAGGTCCTCGTCTACAGAGATCACCATTGTGCCCCCCGCCATGTTTCTACAGTAGTAACAAGAGCTTTGTTAAAACACTGATTTTCTTTTTTTTTCCTGGACAATGAACACTGAAGGAATTCTAACCAGGAGAAGTTTCAGCTGGTTGTAATCTGCAATCATCACCGCTCGATGCCACTAAATCCCCCTAAATCCTACACACACTGGACCTTTAAATGCACCTCAGGTTTTAAAACCAGTTCATGTTAGTCTGTACTCTGAGAGCAGAGCTGCTGTAACACAACACCAACTAGTTTACTCAATGGAAAGGTATGTGACACACACACACACACACACACACACACACACACACACACACCTGACACATCAGATCTTCATGACAAAGACTTTGCTTTTTTCCCCACAAATCTGAAACTATTTTTGGATTTTTACTTCATCAGACAGACAGCTGGCGGTGGGGGGGGGGGGGGTGTGTGTGTGACATATACGAACCTCATTTAGCTGATCCAAGGTCAGTCACATGGTACAGTTTTGATTCGTGATGATTCACAATCAGTTCAGTGTTTGTAGTCAGTCAGAAGTTTCATTAGGCAAAGACAGACAGACATGGGGGGAGGATAGATGTCTCTCTGTCTCGCTCTGTCACCTCCTCACCTCGTCCTCTCTGGGTGTCGGAGCAGATGGCCCCTCTGAGGGGCCCCATATGGGTTTAAAGTAGTGAGGAGGAGGAGCTGGGGAATAGGCATTTATAAGAAGAAGTCTGTGTGTGTGTGTGTGTGTGTGTGTGTGTGTGCGTGCGTGTGTGCGTGTGTGCGCTGCTTAAGTCAGTCCCTGTCAGCACTTTGAGACGCCCGTTGGCCGAGTAATCGAGAGGTCACAGGTTCAAGCCCCACCACCAACACCACCACAGACCTCCAACCAAACAGCTGCTTCATCAGCTCTCCTACACACAGATACACACACACCATCACGTCTAACTCAGTGAAGGAAAGTAACTAAATCCATTTACTCAAGTACTGTACTGAAATACAGTTTTGACCTCAGTCGAGGGTCTGTGTCACCAGGCCGTGAACCACAGATCTGAACTTCTGAACTAATGGAAGTGAAACTAAAAGTGAGCTGATATGAAACATCCGCTGAAAAACTGTAAATCAGAGTCCTGGGTCCATTTTTGAAAACCTGCACCCGCCCATACCCACAAAGCTCAGCACCAGAACCGACCCGTAAATTTGTCTAAGTCAAAGCCACACCCACCCACACAATAAAAGTCCAGCTACCCGTATCCGTGATCAAAGGAACTGCAGCTTGATAACAGTGATTTAGATGTTAGAATATTACACATATACTGCACATATTTTTTACTGCGTTTAACTCTGAAGAATGAAAAAATATATTTTTATTCTCACCTGCTGCCAGCCTGCACATAGTTCATTTTTACCCATGGATTTATATATATATACATATTGTTAAACGTTACACAGCTTTTTGCAGGTTACCCATGGGTACTCACCCTGGTGCAGGACTCTGGTGTAAACCCACGACCATGATAAGTGCTGCAGGTTAACGCTGAATGTTAAAGCCAGTTTAAAGAAACTAATGAAAGTTTACATATGTTTACCTTGTTTTTCCCTTTTCGTACACACTGAACTGCTTAATAACGTCATTTCAGTCCTGACACCACTCTCAGTAAACAGATAAATGCATATGAATGCAGACGCTGTGGTGACGGCACAAGATTTTGAGATCAGAAGTGTTTTGGTTTCCAGTAATAGTCAGAGTAGAGTGCAGATACAATTTAAGAACCCATCAGCTATTATCTGACAATCATTTAGCTTTGTATCAGCTTTTTGTAAAATTCATATGTAGCTATCTGTTGATAGAGATACGCCAACGTGCCCCGCTACACAGGATCTTGTGTAATCGTGGCCCTCGCCCTCAGAGGCTTTAACATCGTCCAACCTGCTGTCATTCTGAAGTCGTCAAATACCACTGCTTGGTCCTTGATTTTGGCATCAGACACTGATGACAAACAGGCATCTTTTTGCGGCGGTATGATACACATCAGGCGGCGTCAGCTGATAACACCACACCACATCGAGGTGGATGGGTCCAACAACACTGGACTTTCACCCAGGAGGCTGATGTTAGCTTCCCATACAAATGTTTAGCCAAACCAAACCTAACCATGTGCTTCTGTTGCCTAAAATTAACCACAGCAAGGACACAGCCTCTGCACATGGGGCCCCTGCTCTAAGGTGAGCTCGTGGGCGCCCCAACCACAAGCACAATGAAATAAACACAAACAGGTGCTTTACCAATGTTGTACTTTTATTTTGAAAAACACTGAATGCTTCTAACTGTGCATTTCCTGTGAAAACAGAAGTGTATTTTGAAAAAAGACAATGCATTTAACAGACTTGATTGACACAACGTCTGTGAACGTCAACAACCGACGCACTCAGGGTACCTAGTGCGTCATACGTAGACGCAAAAGTCCACGGCGATGTGTGATGAGTTGAGTGAGAATATGTTGCATCATCAGATGATAGCCAGTTGGAGGCCAGATTGTCCTCAGACCAACAAATTAAATTAACTAACAAAGGATTTCGGACTGAGACACTGTTAGTAAAGTAAAGTGAGGACACAGAGCAGATCGGTTTTTGATCTGACTCACGTCTTTAAGACTTTATTGTGCACAAGAACTTTGCGGAGTGGGAAGCAGTAAAACCTCCTGGGGTTTGTTGTTGGTGTGAAAAGTTAAAGCTCAAGTAAAAACAGTTTCCCTCCAGATTCTTCTTCTGGTCACGTTAAAGTCATGACTCAGACATTTTAACTTTTCTGAACTTATTTATTTCAGAAGTTAAATTATAAACATCTTGTGGGAAACACAAAGCAAAGAGAGAGTTTAGGGGCACCGGCTGTTCACCCAGGGTATTGAAAGTGTGTGTGTGTGTGTGTGTGTGTGTGTGTGTGTGTGTGTGTGTGTGTGAGATTTGTTCAGTGTTTGGTTGTCAGGACGGAAGTCGCCTGTTTCCTGTGTTTTGTTGTTCAGAGAGTCAGAAGGTGTCAGACCGACTCCCACCCAATCAGCTGACTGCAGCTCACATGGGTGCAGGTCAGCTGACTGTTAACACACACACACACACACACACACACACACAGACACACACACACACACAGTCGTCCATCACACCAACTCTACGTGTCATCGGTCATGTGACACGCAGCTCAGTATTTCTCAGCATCACTCTTGATGTGTTTCAGTTCCCTGCAGAGGGGTTAAATGTTACATGCACCTCTGCAGCAGCTGTGGATCAGGGGGTTTGAACCTGTGACGTTCTTATCACAGGAGTCTGTCTGGGATCTGTAGGTGATCTCCGACACTCTGTCATCTTTCATTTTCTGTTTTGAGTTTTGCTCTGAATGTTGTTTCAGATCTTCTTTCAGTTTCCTGATTGTTTGTTGTTCCGTACAACAATTTATCGTCCTCGTATTTTCTTCCTGAGAGCGCGTCTGTGTTAATGATATTTACATCTGTAAGGGCGGCTCGTTATTTATATTTTTGTACAGATTTGACAAAAATAAGAATCCAAAAGTTGTTTTTCCCATTCAAATCAAACATTTACAAGAGTTATTGCTAAATAAGCAAAACTCAGAATATGTGCTGAAGATGTTTTTAATCCATTCTTCACCAAGATGTTTGTACCATTCATGTTTTTTAAAATTTTCACACAGTTTCTAAAAACAAATAATCACAGCTCACAGGTCATCTTGTTCATTTTTGTTCCAGAGCTTTCAGCCACAGCTCACTGTCTTTCTCGTCAGTGTGAGAGGTGGTTGAAAGCGTCGCGAAAAATAATAAGTAGACCTTGATTTAAAGCTGGCCTCCCACCAGACGACCACAAGCATGTGTGTGCAGTGACTTCAGTAACGCGGTGTTTCTTGGACATTGATTTATTTAATCTTATTTCATTGCACAGTTGCATTCAGCACATTCACTCAGCCCCTCGTTGCCCCGCTTTCTCTCTCTGTTTATCAGACAACAAATAAAACAAGAATTAGCTGCTCTCCACCTCACAGTCCCTTCACTGAGGAGAAGAGCAGACAGCAGCTCTGGAGACGCCGCCCCTGTAGATGGTGGCTGTAGCTGCTTAATTTCAGCCAGCACAAACCCTCCAGCACCGCATGTCACAGCGGGCTGGGTCTAACTTGTGTCACAGCAGCAACAGAAAGTTTGCTGATCCAGCAGGGAGTTAAATCCAAAGCTGGCTGGACTTGAGTTGCTGCAGCCGCTGACTGGGGGTCAGCCTCTGGAGCTGCTGCCCGCCCTCCTCCCAGTGAGGCAGAGGACACACACTGGTTTGAGGCTGTAGCTAACGTTAGCTAGGTAAACGTATAGCTGTGAGCCTTTAGCCTTGGTTAGCAGAAGGCTAAACTATCAGCAACATTTTCTTTCCATCTCTGAAACACTTTGCTGATACTGACATGTGTTTTTACTGACTTTCACCATCTGAAGGGACGTGCACGTGCATCTGCATTTGTAGATCAGCCAAGGAACGCCCTCCTTCTGAAATGACCTGTGATTGGCTAAAGTCTCCCATCCCGAGCTATATTTTCTGCAGCCTGAAAACAGAGCCAGGAGAAGGTGCAGAAGTCTGGTTTTCTCAGTGCACTTGAATAACAGTGTGCTCAGAGATTATTATGGGATATTTGTACGATGATGCCATCTGGTTTTGTACTTCTGACGCTTCAGTTTGTTGCGTGCGATCAGTAAAGTTTATCTTTTGATGCCATTCTTGTGGTTTGTCTCTGAGCTGTTTGTGTCTCTGCTCCACAGATTTATGTTGGGTAACGGGGTGAAGCGGAAACTGGACGAGGATGAGGATGTTCTGGAGGAGGACCAGCGTCTTCTGGCAGTCGGTGGCATGTCGCAGGCATCCTACACCCTGCAGCGTCAGACGGTCCTCAACATGTCTCTCATGAAGCTGTACGGTCCGCGGATGGGCGCTGATCTCGGCCTGCAGCGCCGAGTCCTCATCAACAACATTATCCGCCGCATCCAAGATGACTTCAGGCAAGAAGGAGGCATCGACACGCTCTTCTTCTCTGCTGCGCCGCCTGGCGCTGCTGCCACCGCCGCCCGTGAGGACGAAAGCTACCGGCAGCCTCCGCCTCCTTCCTCCTCTTTCAGCATCCTCTCGTCGTCGCTGTCAGGACTGACGGCACTGGACTCCTGCCTGACTCCTGCCTCACTGCTGGAGGAGGACCTGCCCATGTTCTTCACCCTGCCGCCCTCCTCCTCCACCCAACACCACCACCTGCACCACTCCCCAAGGCCGCTGCCACCGCCCTCGCCGTCACCCAAAGACAGCTTCTCCTCCGCCCTTGAGGAGATAGAGGAGCTCTGTCCTTCCTCTTCGTCTTCCTCTTCCTCTGGCCCGCCCGCACCCCCTCCTGCTCGGCTTCTGTTTGACGTCATCATGAAGGAGGAGGGGCGTGGCTTTCAGGAGGTGGAGAGCAGGTTGGAGAAACCTCCTCTTCCTCCCTCTCCGTCCTCCCCAGGCTCCTCCTTCCTGACTGACTTCGCCCTGGACGACGTCCTCTTCACAGACATTGACACGTCCATGTACGACCTCGGCCCCTGCCCGCCCCCGTCAGGAGCGCTGCCGTCTAAGATGGCTCCCGTCATGATGGCGGACGACCTCGTCCGGTCGATGTCCGGTTACGGAGCGGCGGGTGGCGGCGCTCAGAACCAGCCTTTTAAAATGGACCTGGCGGAGCTGGACCACATCATGGAGGTGCTGGTGGGCAGCTGAGAGGACGACGAGGCTTTTTATAACGTTTTGTTAATTTTGTACAGTTTTAAAATCACAGCGGACTTCACACGGGTTTTATTCTGGAGGGTTCAAGCTGCTGTGTGTCGAGTCTGGATAAATTATGACAACATTAGTTCACCTGCATAAACTGCATCTCACACAGAGAGAAATCTGCTGGATCCTTTTATTGAGCGTAGAGGGGTCAAGAGACAGAGACGAGGGTTTCACAGGTGGCAGGTGGAGGTTATGATAAAAGAGCAACAGAAAAATAATCCTTCAACCTGTTGAAGCTTTTCAGAAAGCGGAGAGAAACAGGAAACAGTGTAACGGCCCGGTCACAGCAGAAACATTCATCTGTGTCTCAAGTGTTTGGTTCTTACGTCTTGGTGACGTAGTGAGAACACGCAGAGCTACAATATTTATTAATGCGCTCTGTCCCGAACCAACCAAACATTAAATGAAATAAAAATGTTGTGTCAGGGCCTTTAAGCAAGAGTTTAAATGCAGGACTTTTACTTGTAACAGAGTATTTCTACCCTGCAGTATTACTACTTTTCCTTAAGACCTGAGTCCGTCTCCCATCACTGCGGGGCCTTTCATGTGTGAGGTGCAGTTTGTTCATGCTAATAAAGGTTCACTAATGTTTCTAAAAATCCACACAGCAGCTTTAATCACTGAGTTACAGTATTGGAGCCACGCGGTCACACTGAGCTTCACGCCGAGGAGCCCACGTGTGAATAATTTCCTCAGTAACACCAGTGTGAAGTCCCGTTTTCTACCGCTGTCCGAGAAATTGTAAGAAACAAACAAAAAAAAATCTCTAGAGACTTTTCTACCGTCGCTGCATGTTTCTACCAATAACAAAAAAAAAATCTCAATAGCATTTATGAAAAACAATCCAGTGCCTTTTTAAACCTCGATCACGCGGTCACGTCTTGCTGTTGCTCGTCACGTAGCAATACGAACTCTGACGGAAGTTTTATCCCAACATGCAGTTTCATTTCCTAAAAATTCATCATGTGACAGCTGTTAAAGTCCCGAGCATCCAGTCTGCAACGTGGGTTTCACTCTGTCATCAAAGAACATGAAAGTCTGTTTAAATGCAACGTGTGAATGTGGAGCTATTTATTGTGTCGTAGCTTTTAAAAATAAAATGTAAAGTTTTTCTTCTCATCAGTGAATCCCATGAAAAGAAACGCAGAGCGTAGTCGACAGTTTTATCTTGCTCTTTTCTTTGGATTTAATAAGAAGAAAAAAACATAACAGCTTCAGACTTTCTCGTTTCAGTTTGTTGCTAACGCTATCCGTCACACTTCCTGTCCGAGTCTGTAGTTCAACACGTGTCGGCTCAGTTTAAGCAAAATTAAATTGCAATAATTTTTACTGAGTGGTGGTGATGATGCAGACTTCCATATGCAGACGTTCCCTTTAGCAGAACTATGAATTATTTATTATCTCTCAGCTCTCAGTGTGTATTTATTGCAACTCTGGACACTAATATTTTGTTTGTACAGAACATAAAAATGTTTTATTTTAAAGGACAAATCCACCAACACTGACCTCTGAGTTGATCTGAGGAAGATTTTTGGGGAAAGATGAACTCTGAGGTCATTTTTGGTGGAAATCTCTTCTATGAAATGTCATTTAATAAATGATCTGAGGTTTTTTTTTTAATGCTATGTAATATATTTTAGGATATCAGCAATGCAAACGCCCTCAAGTCAGCCTGTGCCACAGCTCTGATGTGTGTGTGTCTGTGTGAAGATAGAAATGGATAAACACTGGGCCAGTTTTTAAACGTTTAATCTGAATTTTCTTTTAATCAAATGTGCAAAGTTGCTTCCGATCTGGAGGTAGTTTGAGTCAGGTCATAGAGTCACTGCATATGGATCCTTCCTTTCCTTAAGTAGCTTTAAGGTTGTAAAAATCGTATTGTGTTTTACAGTTCCAGTTGCTCATTTAAGCTCTACGATGGCTAACGCTCTGAAACCTGAGCAAACTGGCTTGATTTTAAAAACATGGGAAGACGGCAATGAACGACGAGAGAAGAAATTATCCAAAAAATCTGTGAAAAGAGAAAATTAGTTTAAAAAAGAAAGTAAAAACAAACCAACAAGGAAATGACCTGAAAATGTGCCGAAAAATTCAAGAATTCTGCACCATAATTAGGAATATGTAATAATAACAATTATAAATATTTTTTCCCTAGCTTTTTGTCTGTAGTTTTTAAAAATAATTTTCTATTGTTATTTTATTTATTTTATTATTAATTATTTATTTTATTATTATTTTTTTAAATCTTTTTTTTATACCAAGTTGCTCACTGCCTTTTCCCCATGTTTTTGAATTTGAGTTCAAAGGTTTAAATATTTGCAAAAGGCGTCTGAAAGCAGCCCAAGAAAAGTGACTTCGCTCCAGGTTTCAATTAAACTGAGAGAAATATTCAACCCCAGTCTATCAGATTGAAATATTCCAGATGTACTGGGCATCATTTTAAACACATTTTCCCAAAATTCATCCTGATATATTTGGGATCTTTGAAGACATTAGGATTTCCACTAGAATCTAAAATATATCCAGGGGCCGTGTTCACAAAGCTTCCTCGTACTTAGAGCTGCTCCTGGTGACAATTTTCTCAGAATTTCCCCTTAAAGTTAAGACCAGGTCCTCGTAAAGATGAAAGTTATTCACAGAGTATCTCAGACATTAAAGGAGCTCCTAAGGTGACAAAGTGTCGGGAGCAGGGAGGAGGACTTGAAGAGTTTCTGAATCAGAGGAGAAAATGGTGAAAACACAAAGAGGTCGGACGAATATTCTCCAAACACAGGATGACAGAGAGGAAACGCTACAGATTAGATTGCATTTCCTCTGCAGGCTCACAAAAGGGTGTCTCTGTGACAACCAATCACGTCTGTTAAAAGACTGCATCACACCTGGCAGTGAGGTCAAACACACCTCCTCACTCAGGTAAACCTTTCAGTCCCTCCCTCGCTCAGAGAACTTTAAGCTCGGACTCTTTACAAACAACTTAAAGGCTGAGTTAGGAGCTCTGTGTCTCCACCTGCTGGTCAGATGATGTAACAGCATGTACTATGTCTTATTATGTAGTGTATTTTATATTAATGTAAAAAGATGCGCTCTGATCCACCTACCTTTTTGTAGTTCTGCCGTCAGTAGTCACTGTACTGTTGCCTGCAGTATGAACACCATCAAGACGTACTACTTCTTGCGCCCTGAACTTTGACCCTCTTGCTCATAATCTGTTACCTTGGAGATAAAACCAAACACTGTTTGGCAACCTCGAGATGGAGGTCAACCTGCAGAGCTCTGCTGTTGTTACTCTGCAGTGTTGGTAGGTTAACTTTAAAGTTATAACTGCAGACACTGCAGATTGTAGCGTATTCACCTCAGTGAAAATACATCTGCATTTCTGTCATCGTTATTTTCACAATTGTTCACTTAAATTATATTCCTATTATTACTGCTCGACTGGTCGTCAGTTACTTAAATGCACTGTCATCCATCGTTACAGCTTCTGACAGCGGTCAACAAGCCGTCAAACGTGTGCAGAGGATTGTGGGTCAGAATAACCAGAAAAGCATATTATAGAACATCCTGGTATTTTTTGGCACACTGCATTCAACATACTGTATTTAGGGACATGCCAAATCTTGTATGTGGAGTTGGTACAGGCCATCAAACTTTACAATGACACGACGAATTTAAGAGGCGATAGACTGAATTTTAAAAAGTATTTTAATGTCAGGAACATTATTTATTTAGTGACTTTGCTGTTGTAAAAACTGCTGTTGCTGCTCCACATATAACATGTTGATATATTTAAAACATTCACTAATGCTGTTCTGAATTTATTTTTAAATTATTTTCTAAAAAGCAGTTTAGAAATGAAAAATAACCAATAACAGTATCGATTAAAGTAGTAGTAGCAATAAATCCTTAACGATACCCATCCCGAGTCCTTTTTAAGCTTTAGTACTTATTTTATTAGTTTAGTAATTTATTAGTTTCCTAAGATGTTCCTGGAGCTGATTTATCATTTATTTTATTTTATTTTTTAGCTGTTAAAAATCATTTAATTTATCATGAGCACGCTGCAGACTCAAACTGCTGCTGTGAATCAGTGTGTGGTGCCGAACTGAGACACTTTACATACTGTTTCTGATGTAGAGTAAGATGGAGGAAACTCTGCGTCACCTGGATCATCAGCAGCACCCAGAGTGTCTCAGAGTGTCTGATATCTGAGACCTTCACCTCTGAATCGACTGTAAAACTCAACAGGAAGTCAAACTAAAATTTGACCAGATTTAAAAAAGAAACTGGCTCCAGATTGTTTATCCAGACTCTTCTTTGCTGGTTTTGTTTGTTTCCATCCAGAGACTGACAGACTGACACGTCTCTCATCAAACCAAATCTTCTTCTTCTTCTTCTTCTGTGGTTTGTAGCGTGTGTGTGGCTGCTGCAGGTTTTTACTGGACGTTAACAGGAGGGATGAAACTACACGACTCTGTGCCTTCTTTTATGCAATATGACATGTTTCTTCTGAGAATTAAATTTGAATGTGTCAGATGAGGATTCAGCTCTGGGGGGGGGGCACTTTAGTAATTTTATTTTCTACATTAAAAGGAAATGATGTCATCTCTGTCTGTCCTCTCGTGTCTTTTTGTCTCCGTGGGCGTTTCTTACAGCGCTCAGGAGGAATATTTTAACTTGTCTCTTGGTCTTTGTCTCATGAGCTGTTTGAACCTGACTCCCTGAGACAAAGCAGCACTTAAAGGAACAGTTCACCACAAAATAACATTTTCTGTATGAAGCCTGGAGGAGTGTGTCACCAGAATAACTGTCTTATGTAATTGAGTTTAATCAATAAATAAAGTGGTTTATTTCTCAAAACTTTATTTAGAAAAGAGACAGGGTTAGAAAAAACATTAAAAACATATTTTTCAATTTATGTCATTACTTTGCAAATTATTAAAAATATATATTAAATATGCCCCTCACTAATTCTATTTTATTTTGTCTTTAATGTAAAATTAATAGTACAAATAATACAAATGTATTGTGACATGAATATGATCACACTATGAAATAAAGTTACATTTAAAAGCAGTTTTAAAATTCATTATAGATAAAATAGGGAAAAATAATTAATGAATGGCATGAATATTTTTTATTTTTATTAGTTTTCTAACGCATCATTTAAATTAAATTTGCAGATTATGTAATTTAATTTTTATTATTTTTTATTAATTATTTATTGACTTGTTTCTCATGCAATATTTAAAATTAAATTAGTCCGTTTAATATAATTAAACATTGTAAAAGCCTATCATGTTTTTGGTGGCACTGTTTTCGAAAGTTAAAGAAAATTTGTATTTCAGTTATGTGTAGATATTAAATTTACTGTTTATTAATTCCACTTTATTTTTTTTTAATTAATTTTATTATTTAAAGACAGTAGGAAAAAATTGTGAATGGCATAAATATTTTTTATTTTATTAGTTTTAAAATACATCATTTAAATGCAAATTGACATAAAGTTTTTCATTATTAATCAACGTTTTTTAATGCATCATTCAAGTTAAAAATGAAACCGGTCGACTTGATATAATTAAATATTGTAAAAGTCCGTCATGTTCCTGTTGCACTCTTTTAAAAAAAAAACTGAGGAAAATTTGTATTATAGAGCAAAAAAATATAAAAAATGAATATGTTGTTCACCAACTTTATTATTGTCTGTAAATGTTAAATTTGTGGTTAAATAACACAGATGTATTGTGACAAAAATATGACCCATCAGTAAATAAATAGGATTTTTTAAATTAATCATATTTCAAGATTGATTTAGGAATATCATTAGTGAATGGCAGAATTAAATTTTTGTAATTATATTTTTTTTCTTAGCTTTACAATGCAATTGAAATCCAAGTCTTAATTATTATTATTATTTTTTTTTTAAATGCATCATTGAATTAACAATTAAACTGGTTAATTTGGTTTAATTTAATTATTATTTCATTTATTTTCTCTGTGGCACTCTCCACCCTCCAGAAACTTTAACTTATATCAGCTGGTTTCAAAAGATTCTGCCAGAATATTTTTTTAATCTGCAGAACTGAACACACAGCTGCAGCTGATGAAGACTCTGTGTCTGTCCCAAAGAAACCGAAACGAGCAGAGAAGATAACTATTTTAATTTCTTGTGTACACTAAAAGTAAAATTTACACACTTAGAGTCTCAAAAGAACCTGGGCATGCACAATAACCTTTTGACAGGCTCTTCAAGTGATTCAGTTTTTTTCCATAGGAATTTTCCCGTACATTTTACAGTCCATAGTTTAACTGTACACAGTCTAAAGCCACAGTGAACTATGATTACATCCATTTCATCTTTACAATGTGCAAAATCCTCCTGGGAGACGGGGCTGACAGTAGTATGAGCAAAAAGAAAACAAAAACAAAACATGAGCCAATAAGAGCCGCAACAACAAAAAGCACTTCATATGAGGAACAGTGAACAAAACCCGACACATGGAAGCAGAAATTGGTCCCTTAATTCCCTTCTGATGCGAGTCGACCTTCACTGCCGAGAATCTTTCGACTTTCAGTGGTTTTAACCAAAAAAAAAAAAAAAAAAACAAAGTCCCATTTTCATTCCCTCAGAACAACAAGAAGGAACAGTGTGAGAGAGAGTGAACACCAACAAGGAAGGAAACTTGTTTTTATCCACCGACCACAACAGCTGGAATAAACACGGAATAAAAATAAAACCTCCAAATGACGACTG